GCCTCCTGAGTAGCTGGGATTACAGGCACGCGCCACCATGCCCAGCTAATTTTTTGTATTTTTAGTAGAGACGGGGTTTCACCATGTTGATCAGGATGGTCTCAATCTCTTGACCTCGTGATCCACCCACCTCAGCCTCCCAAAGTGCTGGGATTACAGGCATGAGCCACCACGCCCGGCCCCTGCAGATTACATCTTATATGTAAAAAGAAATTGAACAACATGGGTGAATCTCAAAAGCCTCATCTAAGTAAAAGAAGCCAGATCAGTAACTGCTGGAATCAAATTAATGTATGATTCCTTTTATATTAATTATATTAAAGGCAAAATTATACTGACAGTAGGTCAGTAACTGCCCAGAGTGGAAGACTGCAAAGAGGCCCAAGGAAACTTTGGGGGATAATGGTTTCCAAAGTTCACATAATTGTACTATTAGAATTAGTGCTTTCTATTGTACGTAAATTATTTCTTTTATGCCATCAATAATTAGAAGATGAAAGTTTATAAAAATCTTACTTACAATAGCATATATGTTTTTAAAAAAACACCTAGAAATTAACTCCTAATAAAATGTAAGACCTCTATAGGGTGAAATTAAATGATGCTAAAGAAGATCTAAATGTCTTTACAGAGATTTCTTATTCATGAATTAAAGATATTATGGGAAAGATATCAATTCTCAAATTGATTGGTGGATTCAATGTAATTCCATAAAAATTTCAGCCTTTTTTTAGCCTGTTTGTCTGATTCTAGAATTTATATGGACAGTCTGTGAACACAAAAAGCAAGATAGGTGAACTTGATGTACTGTATATCAGGATTTATTAGGAAAATAGTATAATTATAACAATGATAATGATATAAGAATGGTTGGTAGGCAAATGAAATGCAATAGAAAGCCTACTAGTAAACACCCAAGCTTACATAGACATTTCTATGAAAGAAATGCTGTGGCTGATCAGAGGGGAAATTAATGACTTTCAATAAATCATTTTGAATAGTCATTTGGAAAAAAAGTTAATTAGATTGCTACTTTTCATCAGCTCCCTCATCCCCACCATCTCTTTTTTTTTTTTTTTTTGAGACGGAATTTCGCCCTTGTTACCCAGGCTGGAGTGCAATGGCGCGATCTCGGCTCACCGCAACCTCCGCCTCCTGGGGTCAGGCAATTCTCCTGCCTCAGCCTCCTGAGTAGCTGGGATTACAGGCACGTGCCACCATGCCCAGCTAATTTTTTGCACTTTTAATAGAGACGGGGTTTCACCATGTTGACCAGGATGGTCTCGATCTCTCAACCTCGTGATCCACCCGCCTCGGCCTCCCAAAGTGCTGGGATTACAGGCTTGAGCCACCGCGCCCGGCGCCCCACCATCTCTTTTGCGTGTTAAAGTCCTAGGTGTGAAAGGCAAACCTGTAGTGCTTTTTAAAAAGAATGTAGAATATCTCCACAGCCTTGGGAAAGGATTTTTCTTCAACTAGACACAAAAACCATTAGCTGTAAAGGAAAAAAATTGATAAATTTGACTACATTAAAATTAAGAACTCTGTCATAAAAATGCAATTTTTAAAAAGTGAAAAACTATCAGAATGTGACAAGATGCTCTCTGTTCTACATTTATTTCTACAGTACAAAAAAGTATATATGTGATTGGCATATATGTAGAAAATTGCATGAATTTAACAGATTATATTAATTTCTATACCATTTTTCTGAGCAAGCTATTTTTTTTAATCATCAAATAGCTGCAAGTAAATAGAATAAACAAATACAACTGAATATTGCAGCTAAGGAAGAATATGGCAGTGTATATGATACCTATATACTTCAATTTAGCCTCTTTTCTGTTTGACCATGTGCTGTGTCTTAAAAATCTTTATTGCACTATTTGCCCTATCTTCATTATTTGGTAGCCTAACTCTTCCTGATACCCCTTTCTGTCAAGCCAGCTTTTCTTTTCTTTCATTTTTTTTAAAAAGACAGTATTTTTATTTACTCTAATATTTTTAATTGGACTCTTTGGTTCCATATGAAATTTAAAGCAATTTTTTTCTAGTTGTGTGAAGAATCTCAATGATAGCTTAATAGGAATAGCATTGGATCTATAAATTACTTTGGGCAGTATGGCCGTTTTCATGACATTAATTCTTTCTGTCTGTGAGCGTGAAATGTTTTTCCATTTGTTTGTGTCCTCTCTTATTTCCGTGAGCAGTGGTTTGTAGTTCTCCTTGAAGAGGTCCTTCACATCCCCTGTAAGTTGTATTTATAGGTATTTTATTTTCTTTGTAGCAATTGTGAATGGGAGTTTACTCATGATTTGGCTGTTTGTCTATCATCGATGTATAGGAATGCTTGTGATTTTTGCATATTGATTTTGTATCCTGAGGCTTTGCTGAAAGTGAGGAGTTGTGAGGTTAGATGGAGTTTTCTAAATATGCAATCCTGTCATCTGCAAACAGACAATTTGACTTCTTCTCTTCCTATTTGAATATCCTTTATTTGTTTCTCTTGCCTGATTGCCCTGTTGAATCAGAGTAGTGAGAGAGGACATACTTGTCTCGTGCCAGTTTTCAAAGGGAATGCTTCCAGCTTTTGCCCATTTAGTATGATATTCTCTATGGGTTTGTCATAAGTAGCTCTTATTATTTTGAGATATGTTTTATCAGTACCTAGCTTATTAAGTGTTTTTAGTATGAAGGGTGTTGAATTTTATCAAAGGCCTTTTCTGCATCTATTGAAATAATCCTGTGGTTTTTGTCATTGGTTCTGTTTATGTGATGGATTACGTTGATTGATTTGCATACTTTGAAGCAGCCTTGTATCCCAGGGATGAAGCCCACTTGATTGTGATGGAAAAGCTTTTTGATGTACTACTGGATTCAGTTCTACCAGTATTTTATCAAGGATTTTCGCATTGATGTTCATCAGGGATATTGACCTGAAATTTTCTTTTTTTGTGTGTGTCTGTGCCAGGTGTTTGGTATCAGGATGATGCTGGCTTCATAAAATGAGTTAGGGAGTAGTCCCTCTTTTGCTATTGTTTGGAATAGTTTCAGAGGGAATGGTACCAGCTCTTCTTCTGGTGGAATTCGACTGTGGATCCATCTGGTCCTGTGCTTTTTTTGGTTGGTAGACTGTTAATTACTGCCTCAATTTCAGAACTTGTTATTGGTCTTTTCAGGGATTTGACTTCCTCCCAGTTTAGTCTTGGGGGTGTATGTGTCCTGGAATTTATCCATTTCTTCTGGATTTTCTAGTTTATTTGTGTAGAGGTGTTTATAGTATTCTCTGATGGTAGTTTGTATTTCTGTGGGATCAATGGTGATATCCCCTTTATCATTTTTATTGTGTCTATTTGATTCTTCTCTCTTCTTTTTTGGTCTGACTAGTGGTCTATCTATTTTGTTAATCTTTTCAAAAAACCAGCTCCTGGATTTATTGATATTTTTGGAAGGTTTTCATATATCTATCCCCTTTGGTTGTGCTCTGATGTTAGTTATTTCTTGTCTTCTGCTAGCTTTTAAATTTGTTTGCTCTTGCTTCTCTAGTTCTTTTAATTGTGGTGTTACAGTGTTGATTGCATTTAGTGCTATAAGCGTCACTGTAAACACTGCTTTAGCCGTGTCCCAGAGATTCTGGTATATTGTGTCTTTGTTCTCATTGGTTTCAAAGAACTTCTTTACTTCTGCCTAATTTTGTTATTTACCCAGTAGTCATTCAGGAGCAAGTTGTTCAGTTTCAATGTAGTTGGGTGGTTTGGAGTAAATTTCTTAATCCTGAGTTCTAATTTGATTGCACTGTGGTCTGAGAGACTTTTTGTTATGATTTCTGTTCTTTTATATTTGCTGAGGAGTGTTTTATTTTCAATTGTCTGGTTGATTTTAGAATAAGTGCTATGTGGTACTGAGAAGAATGTATATTCTCTTGATTTGGGGTGGAGAGTTCTGTAGATTTCTATTAGGTCTGCTTGGTCCAGAGCTGAGTTCAAGTCCTGAATATCCTTGTTGATTTTCTGTCTCATTGATCTGCCTAATATTGACAGTGGGGTGTTAAATTCTCCCATTATTATTGTGTGGGAATCTAAGTCTCTTTGTAGGTTTCTAAGAATTTGCTTTATGAATCTGGGTGCTCCTATATTGGATGCATATATATTTAGGAGAGTTAGCTCTTCTTGTTGCATTGATTCCTTTACCATTATGTAATGCCATATATATATATATATATATATATATATATATATATATATATATATATATATATCTTTGTTGCTTTGAAGTTTTTTTTATCAGAGACTAGGATTGCAACCCCTGCTTTTTTTTTGCTTTCCATTTACTTGGTAAATACTATTCAATCCCTTTATTTTGAGCCTGTATATGTCTTTGCACATGAAATGGGTCTCCTGAATACAGCACACCAATGGGTCTTGACTCTTTACCCAATTTGCCAGTCTGTGTCTTTTAATTGGGGCATTCGGTCCATTTACATTTAAGGTTAATATTGTATATGTTAATTTGATCCTGCCATTATGATGCTAGCTGTTTATTTTGCACATTAGTTGATGCAGTTTCTTAATAGTATTGTTGGTCTTTATATTTTGGTATGTTTTTGCAGTGGCTGGTACCAGTTTTTCCTTTCCATATTTAGTGCTTCCTTCAGGACTAGGGCAGGCCTGTTGGTGACAAAATCCCTCAGCATTTGCTTGTCTGTAAAGGATTTTCTTTCTCTTTCGCTTATGAAGCTTACTTTGGCTAGACATGAAATTCTGGGTTGAAAATTCTTCTCTTTAAGAATGTTGAATATTGGCCCCCACTCTCTTCTGACATATAGGGTTTTTGCAGAGAGATCCCACCATTATGGGATCTCTGATGGACTTCCTTATGTAGGTAACCTGACCTTTCTCTCTGGCTTCCCTTAACATTTTTTCCTTTCCTTGGAGAATCTGACAATTATGTGTCTTGGGGTTGCTCTTCTCAAAGAGTATCTTAGTGGTGGTCTCTGTGTTTCTTTTTTTTTTTTTTTTGAATTTGAAGTCTTGTGTTTTACTCATGGGGGAAAAAATACAAAAGAGGTTTTGTTCTCATGGCTGCCCACTGCAAGCCTGGCATAAACAGCCCGCTCACTTCTGTTTGGAGAAATATTCTTTGCTCCTTTGGACATCAGCCTTGATGGTATCACTGCCAGGTTTCCAGCCAGCTGGGCACACTTCCCCATGTTTGTCAGTGAACTGGAAGGCCTGAACTAGTCTCAAAGTCTCATCCACAGAGCAGCCAACAGAGAGGTCATTTATAGTGATCTGCCGAAGAATACCCTTATCTTCAATGATAAAGAGGCCCCTGAATGAGATGCCTTCATCAGCCTTTAAGACCCCATAATCCTGAGCAATGGTGCGCTTTGGGTCTGATATCAAAGGAATGTTCATGGGTCCCAGTCCTCCTTGTTTCTTAGGTGTGTTGATCCATGCCAGGTGACAGAAGTGAGAATCCACAGAAGCACCAATCACTTGGCAGTTGAGTGTCTTAAATTCTTCTGCCCTATCACTGAAAGCAATAATCTCCGTGGGGTACACAAAGGTGAAGTCAAGAGGGTAAAAGAAGAATACAACATATTTTCCTTTGTAGTCAGACAGGCTGATATCTTTAAACTGACCATCTGGCATAACAGCTGTGGCTTTGAAGTTGGGGGAAGGGTGCCCAATTTTAGCATTTCCTGAAGACATCTTCTTATAAGCAGTCCTGACACAAGTCTCCAAAAACCAACCACCGGACAGAAAGAGGACCCGCCCTCTGTGTTTCTTAAATTTGAATGTTGGCCTGTCTTGCTAGGTTGGGGAAGTTCTCCTGGATAATATGCTGAAGTGTGTTTTCCAACGTGGTTCCATTTTCCCTGTCACTTTCAGGTATACCAGTCAACCATAGGTTTGGTTTTTTCACATAGTCCTGTGTTTCTTGGAGGCTTTGTTTGTTCCTTTTCATTCTTTTTTCTCTTGTCTTCACACTTTATTTCATTAAGTTGATCTTTAATCTCTGATATCCTTTCTTCCACTTGATCAATTCGGCTATTGATATTTGTGTATGCTTCACAAAGTTCTTGTACTGTTTATCAGTTCCATCAGGTCATTTATTTTCTTCTCTAAACTGGTTATTCTAGTTAGCAGTTCCTGTAAACTTTTATCAAGGTTCTTAGCTTCCTTGCATTGGGTTAGAACATGCCTCTTTAGCTCAGAGGATTTTGTTATTACCCGCCTCCTGATGCCTACTTCTGTCAATTCATCAAACTCTGTCCAGTTTTGTGCCCTTGTTGGAGAGAGTTGTGATTATTTGGAGGAGAAGAGGCCTTCTGGTTTTTGGAATTGTTAGCATTTTTGCACTGGTTTTTCCTTATCTTTGTGGATTTATCTACCTTTGATCTGTGATGCTGATGGCCTTGGGATGGGGTTCTCGTGTGGGCATGCTTTTTGTTAATGTTGATGTTACTGCTTTCTGTATGTTAATTTTCCTTCTATCAGTCAGACCTCTCTTCTGCAGGTCTACTGGAGTTTGCTGGAGGTCCACTCCATGCCCTGTTTACCTGGGTATCACCAGCAGAGGCTGCAGAACAGCAAAGATTGCTGCCTGCTCCTCTTTCTGGAAGCTTCATCCCAGAAGAACACCCACCTGATGCCAGCCAGAGCTCTCCTGTATAATGTGTCAGTCAGCTCCTGCTGGGAGGTGTCTCCCAGTCAGGATACACGGGGGTCAGGGACCCACTTGAGGAGGCAGCCTGTTCCTTAACAGAGCTCGAGCGTTCTACTGGGAGATCTAATGCTCTCTTCAGAGCTGGCAGGGAGGAACATTTAAGTCTGTTGGAGCTGCGCCCACAGCCACCCCTTCCCCCAGGTGCTCTGTCCCAGGGAGACGGGAGTTTTATCTATAAGCTCCTGACTGGGGCTGCTGCCTTTCAGAGATACCCTGCCAAGTAAGGAAGATTCTAGAGAGTCAGTCTGGCCACAGCCACTTTGCTGTGCTGAGGTGAGTTCCGCATGATCCAGACTTCCCAGTGGCTTCCTTAACACTGTGAGGGGAAAACCACCTACTCAAGCCTCAGCAATGGTGGACGCCCCTCCCCCCACCAAGCTCAGTCATTCCAGGTTGACTTCAGACCGCTGCACTGGCAGCGAGAATTTCATGCCAGTGGTTCTTAGCTTGCTGGGCTTTGTGGGAGTGGGACCCACTGACCGAGACCACTTGGCTCCCTGGCTTCAGCCCCCTTTCCAGAGGAATGAAAAGTTCTGTGTCTCTGGGGTATGAAAAAAACTCCTGCAGCTAGCTCAGTGTTTGCCCAAACAGCTGCCTAGTTTCAAAAACCTTGGGAAAAGCCTAGTATTTGGGCCAGATGGCACAGTCCCTCATGGCTTCCCTTGCTTAAGGGAGGGAGTTCCCCAGTCCCTTGTACTTCATGGAAGAGGTGATGCCCCACCTTGCTTCTCTTCACCCTCTGTGGGCTGCACCCACTGTTTAACCAGTCCCAATGGGATGAACAGGGTTCCTCAGTTGGAAATGCAGAAATCACCCACCTTCTGTGTGTCGGTCTCCCTTGGAACTGCAGACAGGAGCTGTCCCTATTCAGCCATCTTGCCAGCTCCCACAAATCAATTTTAAAGACACAAGACCCAACAGAGAAAAGACTTGAATACTTTACAAAAGAGGAAATCTATATGGCTTCCATATATATTAAAAAGATGTTTACTTTCATAATTGCATATTAAATATAGAATGAGGCAACATTACACACTTAGCATATTGGCAAAGTTTAAAAGCCTCAAGACAAGCATTGGTGTGTGGACAGAAGAGGATGCATGTTACGTGATTCAATTCACATGAGGTTGCAAAAGTAGCAGAAGTAAGCTATGTTACTTAAAAATGCATTATTTTGTTGGTACAACTATTTAAAAGGAAATTATCATCACAGATGTCAAGATGGTAGTCATTTTTGAGGATGTAGTGAGGGAGAAGTTTATCATCAGGGACTCACAAGAAAGCTTTTGAGGTTCTGGTAATACTCTATTTCTTTTCTTGGTTTGATTTGCTTATGAGTAAACTTTATACATTTTATGTACTTTTTATATATTTCAGAATAAAACAAGAAAGGGAAAATGATCAATTATGTCAAATTTTATTTATAGGTCAGTTAAGATGAGGATGAGACTTGGCCATTGAGTTCAGCAAAGTGGAGACTATTGTTGAAACATAGCACATTGTCTCAATGAATGGTTGGAGTAAAGATCTTATTTGAATAGGCTCAAGAGACAGTGAGAGGAGAGTTGGAGACAGTATATGGCTCCAAAGAACTCTTTGGAGGAATTTTTATGTATAAAGGAGAACTGTAGTGAGAACTGGTGGTGAGGTGGGATGCAGAAAGCTTTATATAAAATATATAGTATCGGAAGAATATAAAGATAAATTTTATGGCATGCCAAAAGCAGTGGGGTAAAGGAAGAAGATAACTTTGTGTGTATTGGGTTGTATGGTTTTGTGGAGGGAGTGAAAATATATACTACTTTGTAAAGAAAACATTAAAACTATTTTCTAGTCTTAAAAGTATGTGATAGAATTACACATAACATTCATATCTGTTAATGAAAAGAATCATGGACAACATCCTGCTCAAAATCACTTTGCAGAAAGAGAAAACCAAAAGAGATTAAGTACTTGATCCAAATTGTGCCATTAATAATAATCCCAGACTAAAACAGAGTTCCTCCTGCCCCTTGGATCAGTCCTGTTTTTATAGTATTATCTTTAATATGGCTTGCTCTTAAATTGTTTTTTATAGTCATTATATTTTATAGTAGAGTTTATTTGGATATCTCAATTAGCCTTTGCTGCACAACAAACTACCCTAAAACTTATTGGCTTAAAATAGTCATGTGTATTTCTCATGATTCCATGAGTTGGGCTCAGCTGGGACCACTCATGTGGCTGTAGTCACTTATAGCTCAACTGGAACTGGAGGGACTAAGATGGTGTCATTCATGTGTCTGGGGCCTTGCTGCTTTTTGCTGGTGTTGGCTCTCTTACCATTCTGTAGTCTAGCCTGGACTTCCTTGCATGGAAGCAGGAGCATTCCACAAGGGTGAAGATGGAAGTCTAGACCCCTAAACTTGGACAACATCATAGCCTTCACATTAAATTAATCAAAGCACGTCATAAATCCAGCCCAAATTCAAGGGATGAGGCAAAAGGCCCCACCTCTTAGGAGGTGCAGAATATTGTCATATGTTTTTCATCTGTCAGAGATAATTACAAATTATAATTTTAATCATTGAATTTCCTTTTTTAAAAAAAATACATGTATTTTATTGCACTTTAGGTTCTGGGGTACATCTGAAGAACATGCAGGATTGTTGCATAGGTACATACGTGGCATTGTGGTTTGCTGCCCTCATCCCCATCACCTATATCTGGCATTTCTCTCCATGTTATTCCTCCCCAACTCCCTACCCACTGCTGTCCCTCCCTTAGTCCACCCCAAAAGACCCCAGTGTGTGATGTTCCCCTCCCTGTGTCCATGTGTTCTCATTGTTCAACACCTGCCTATGAGTGAGAACATGCAGGGTTTGATTTTCTGTTCTTGTGTCAGTTTGCCAAGAATGATAGTTTCCAGGTTCGTCCATGTACCCACATGAACTCATCATTTTTGATGGCTACATAGTATTCCATGGTGTATATGTGCCACATTTTTCCTGACCAGTCTATCATCGATGGGCATTTGGATTGGTTCTAGGTCTTTGCTATTTTAAACAGTGCTGCAGTGAACATATGTGTGCATGTGTCCTTACAATGGAACGATTCATAATCCTTTGGATATATACCCAGTAATGGGATTGCTGGGTCAAATGGAATTTCTATTTCTAGCCCTTTGAGGAATCGCCACACTGTCTTCCACAATGGTTGAACTCATTTACACTCCTACCAACAGTGTAAAAGTGTTCCTATTTCTCCATATCCTCTCCAGCATCTGTTGTCTCCAGATTTTTTAATGATTGCCATTCTACCTGGCATGAGAGGGTATCTCAAGGGGCTGGTTTTGATTTGCATTTCTCTAATGACCAGTGATGATGAGCATTTTTTCAGATGTTTGTTGGCCTCATATATGTCTTCTTTTGAAAAGAGTCTGCCCATATCCTTCGCCCACTTTTGAATGGGTTTGTTTGTTTGTTTCTTGTAAATCTGTTTTAGTTCTTGGTAGATTCTGGATATTAGCCCTTTGTCAGATAGGTAGATTACAAAACTTTTTCCCATTCTGTTGGTTGCCAGTTCACTCTAATCATTGTTTCTTTTGCTGTGCAGAAGCTCTGGAGTTTAGTTAGATCCTATTTATCTATTTTGGCTTTTGTTGCCAATGCTTTTGGTGTTTTACTTATGAAGTCCTTGCCAATTCCTATGTCCTGAATGGTTTTGCCTAGGTTTTCTTCTAAGGTTTTTATGGTGTTACGTCTTATGTTTAAGTCTTTAATCCATCTGGAGTTAATTTTAGTGTAAGGTGTCAGGAAGGGGTCCAGTTTCTGCTTTCTGCATATGGCTAGCTAGTTTCCCAACACCATTAATTAAACAAGGAATCCTTTCCCCATTGCTTGTTTTTGTCAGGTTTGTCAAAGATCAGATGATTGTAGATGTGTGGCATTGCCTCTGAGGCTTCTGTTCTGTTCCATTGGTCTGTATCTCTGTTTTGGTACTAGTACCATGCTGTTTTGGTTACTGTAGCCTTGTAGTGTAGTTTGAAGTCAGGTAGGGTGAGGCC